CTGTAGTCTTGATGTGATGCGTCACTGTAGTCTTGATGTGATGCATCACTGTAGTCTTGATGTGGTACATCACTGTAGTCTTGATGTGGTACATCACTGTAGTCTTGATGTGATCCGTCACTGTAGTCTTGATGTGGTACATCACTGTAGTCTTGATGTGATGCGTCACTGTAGTCTTGATGTGATGCGTCACTGTAGTCTTGATGTGATGCATCACTGTAGTCTTGATGTGATACATCACTGTAGTCTTGATGTGGTACATCACTGTAGTCTTGATGTGATGCGTCACTGTAGTCTTGATGTGATGCGTCACTGTAGTCTTGATGTGATGCGTCACTGTAGTCTTGATGTTGTACATCACTGTAGTCTTGATGTGATGCGTCACTGTAGTCTTGATGTGATGCATCAATGTAGTCTTGATGTGGTACATCACTGTAGTCTTGATGTGGTACATCACTGTAGTCTTGATGTGATGCGTCACTGTAGTCTTGATGTGGTACATCACTGTAGTCTTGATGTGATGCGTCACTGTAGTCTTGATGTGATGCGGCACTGTAGTCTTGATGTGGTACATCACTGTAGTCTTGATGTGATGCGGCACTGTAGTCTTGATGTGGTACATCACTGTAGTCTTGATGTGATGCGTCACTGTAGTCTTGATGTGGTACATCACTGTAGTCTTGATGTGATGCGTCACTGTAGTCTTGATGTGATGCGTCACTGTAGTCTTGATGTGGTACATCACTGTAGTCTTGATGTGATGCGTCACTGTAGTCTTGATGTGGTACATCACTGTAGTCTTGATGTGATGCATCACTGTAGTCTTGATGTGATGCGTCACTGTAGTCTTGATGTGGTACATCACTGTAGTCTTGATGTGATGCGTCACTGTAGGCTTGATGTGGTACATCACTGTAGTCTTGATGTGATGTGTCACTAGTCTTGATGTGATGCGTCACTGTAGTCTTGATGTGATGCGTCACTAGTCTTGATGTGATGCGTCACTGTAGTCTTGATGTGATGCGTCACTGTAGTCTTGATGTGATGCGTCACTAGTCTTGATGTGATGCGTCACTAGTCTTGATGTGATGCGTCACTGTAGTCTTGATGTGATGCGTCACTGTAGTCTTGATGTGATGCGTCACTGTAGTCTTGATGTGGTACATCACTGTAGTCTTGATGTGATGCGTCACTGTAGTCTTGATGTGATGCATCACTGTAGTCTTGATGTGATGCGTCACTGTAGTCTTGATGTGATACATCACTGTAGTTTTGATGTGATGCATCACTGTAGTCTTGATGTGATGCGTCACTGTAGTCTTGATGTGATGCATCACTGTAGTCTTGATGTGGTACATCACTGTAGTCTTGATGTGATGCGTCACTGTAGTCTTGATGTGATACATCACTGTAGTCTTGATGTGATGCGTCACTGTACTCTTGATGTGGTACATCACTGTAGTCTTGATGTGGTACATCACTGTAGTCTTGATGTGATGCGTCACTGTAGTCTTGATGTGATGCGTCATTGTAGTCTTGATGTGGTACATCACTGTAGTCTTGATGTGATGCGTCACTGTAGTCTTGATGTGATGTGTCACTGTAGTCTTGATGTGGTACATCACTGTAGTCTTGATGTGATGCGTCACTGTAGTCGTGATGTGATGCGTCACTGTAGTCTTGATGTGATACATCACTGTAGTCTTGATTTGGTACATCACTGTAGTCTTGATGTGATGCGTCACTGTAGTCTTGATGTGATGCGTCACTGTAGTCTTGATGTGGTACATTACTGTAGTCTTGATGTGATGCGTCACTGTAGTCTTGATGTGATACATCACTGTAGTCTTGATGTGATGCATCACTGTAGTCTTGATGTGATGCATCACTGTAGTCTTGATGTGATACATCACTGTAGTCTTGATGTGATGCATCACTGTAGTCTTGATGTGGTACATCACTGTAGTCTTGATGTGATGCGTCACTGTAGTCTTGATGTGATGCGTCACTGTAGTCTTGATGTGATACATCACTGTAGTCTTGATGTGGTACATCACTGTAGTCTTGATGTGATGCGTCACTGTAGTCTTGATGTGATGCATCACTGTAGTCTTGATGTGGTACATCACTGTAGTCTTGATGTGATGTGTCACTGTAGTCTTGATGTGATGCGTCACTGTAGTCTTGATGTGATGTGTCACTGTAGTCTTGATGTGATGCGTCACTGTAGTCTTGATGTGGTACATCACTGTAGTCTTGATGTGATGCGTCACTGTAGTCTTGATGGGGTACATCACTGTAGTCTTGATGTGATGCATCACTGTAGTCTTGATGTGATACATCACTGTTGTCTTGATGTGGTACATCACTGTAGTCTTGATGTGATGCATCACTGTAGTCTTGATGTGATGCGTCACTGTAGTCTTGATGTGGTACATCACTGTAGTCTTGATGTGATGCGTCACTGTAGTCTTGATGTGGTACATCACTGTAGTCTTGATGTGATGCATCACTGTAGTCTTGATGTGATGCGTCACTGTAGTCTTGATGTGGTACATCACTGTAGTCTTGATGTGATGCGTCACTGTAGTCTTGATGTGGTACATCACTGTAGTCTTGATGTGATACATCACTGTAGTCTTGATGTGATACATCACTGTAGTCTTGATGTGATGCGTCACTGTAGTCTTGATGTGATACATCACTGTAGTCTTGATGTGATGCATCACTGTAGTCTTGATGTGATGCGTCACTGTAGTCTTGATGTGATACATCACTGTAGTCTTGAATACTGACGGACCGATTACCACATTTCTCACTATTTGCTGTATGGTAAAAAAAAAAAACCACATCTGCGGATTTGGTTTCCAGGGTTTCAGTCATTCGTGTTTTACCGTGACCCAAAAATAAACCTTAATTTTACTCAGTAATAATAACCCCAAAGCACAAGAGTAGTGATGGTGGCAGTTTTCCAACTGCTGAGAGAAGACAAGATGCCATTCCCATCAGGGGGACAGTGAACCTTGACTCACACTCCTGGATAATACACCATAGTTCTTGAGGGTGGGGTGAGAACTTGCTATCCTTGACTCACACTCCTGGATAATACACCATAGTTCTTGAGGGTGGGGTGAGAACTTGCTATCCTTGACTCACACTCCTGGATAATTCACCATAGTTCTTGAGGGTCGGGTGAGAACTTGCTATCCTTGACTCACACTCCTGGATAATACACCATAGTTCTTGAGGGTGGGGTGAGAACTTGCTTATCCTTGACTCACACTCCTGGATAATACACCATAGTTCTTGAGGTGGGGTGAGAACTTGCTATCCTTGACTCACACTCCTGGATAATACACCATAGTTCTTGAGGGTGGGGTGAGAACTTGCTCTCCTTGACTCACACTCCTGGATAATACACCATAGTTCTTGAGGGTGGGGTGAGAACTTGCTATCCTTGACTCACACTCCTGGATAATTACATCATAGTTCTGAGGGTGGGGTGAGAACCTGCTATCTTGACTCACATCCTGGTATAATACACCATAGTTCTTGAGGGTGGGGTGAGAACCTGCTATCCTTGACTCACACTCCTGGATAATACACCATAGTTCTTGAGGGTGGGGTGAGAACCTGCTATCCTTGACTCACACTCCTGGATAATACACCATAGTTCTTGAGGGTGGGGTGAGAACCTGCTATCCTTGACTCACACTCCTGGATAATACACATAGTTCTTGAGGGTGGGGTGAGAACTTTGCTATCCTTGACTCACACTCCTGGATAATACATCCATAGTTCTTGAGGGTGGGGTGAGAACTTGCTATCCTTGACTCACACTCCTGGATAATACACCATAGTTCTTGAGAGTGGAGTGAGAACTTGCTCTCCTTGACTCACACTCCTGGATAATACACCATAGTTCTTGAGGGTGGGGTGAGAACTTGCTATCCTTGACTCACACTCCTGGATAATACACCATAGTTCTTGATCTAGATACAAGTATGTAATTCTTTTCAACAGATAGCCTCTGTATGGACTTCCAAGGCCTCATGTACTCCCATGTACTTCATGTACTCTATTGTCACTCACTAAAGTGAAGATTTAGTTCGTCTCGAACGTTAAAAACAAAAAAGCATCAAACATCCTCAGATCACATAAATGATTTAGTTTTATGTAAATTTCATCAATTTTAGTCTCTTGCAATGTTAATTTTGAGGCAAAAATTAGGCTGAAAAAAAAATTGTGTATAGTAAATATATTTCAGTTTTTGTGGCGTGGAAATTGTGAAATCTTCGGATTAAAAAAAATTGCCACGGGATTGTACAGTGATGTATTTTGTACTTGTGGTGAATTTTTTTCGGTTTTCAAAATATTTTGTGGTTATGTATTATGGGTAGGCCTCTTTTTGGAGCCTACAGAAAGAATCCTTTTCAAAGTTGCTGTATCCTCCATTGAGGTGTCCCTCTCTATCCTCCATTACTCCTTTAATGACCCATTAAGATTTAGTGCTTTTAAATCACTGAAGAACATAAAGGAGGAACACTGCAGTAGGCCTACTGGCCCACACTAGACAAGTCCTTCTCTAACCCAAACCATCTGAGAATAATATTTGCCCAACCCATTATCAGTGTTACCCAGGGCAACTGAACTTGCATTCCCTTAAATTGAATCCCATTGCCCTCCCATTACCCATGGGTTGCTGGACCTCCATGGGTCTGGCATGTTCTTATGGATGTAACAAGAATCACATGTAAATTCAGTACACAAATGCACATGTAAAGAGAGTAGCCATAGACACATGTGGATGTATCCACAGACACATGTGGATGTATCCACAGACACATGTGGATGTATCCACAGACACATGTGGATGTATCCACAGACACATGTGGATGTATCCACAGACACATGTGGATGTATCCACAGACACATGTGGATGTATCCACAGACACATGTAAGCAGAATGGCCAAACTAATAATGTATTATTATTTTTCAGATGACAAGTCCTCTGGACTGTCTTACAAAGACAGAGAGGAGAGGCTGCGACAGCTGCGAGAGAGACAGCAGCTGGAGAAACAGCAAAAACTCGAGGAACTTAAGGAGCAGGTAAGTCACAGCTCCAGGACCTCTGCACTCGTTCATGGTGAACACTGTGTGCTGTTCACCGCTAGCTGTCTTGTTCACAGTGCACATCCTAGCAATGTTGGTTGTTATATTATGTTCACAGTCACCACTCTTGTGTGTAATAATTGCAAACAAGTGACACACAATGCAAAACATCTACGGGGGGGAGTTGAGTGATAGCTCTAGGCCTTTCATGTTGCAATCAACACATCAGGAGCTTGCAGTGTTGCAAAAATGAGTAGGAAGTCCAGGTAGATTAATTTCTGCAACGTTGTAAGCTCCTGTTGTGTTGATTAAACACGAAAGGCCTAGAGCTATCATTAAACTCCCCCCCATGGCAGTTTTGTATGCAGTGTGTGTGGAGTGGTCACAGCATGGAGACCATAGTTCAAGTCCTCGCCCATTTCCAAGTATTTGTAATATATTCTCTGCTGTACTGTAGTCATAATTCCAGACTTCGACACTTTTCACTTGCACTTGCAAAAATCGCACTCTATGTAAAGAAGCTTTATTACAGACTGTTACTGTAGTTCATTATTATTGCAATAAGATCACAGTAAACAGGTGATATTACAATATACACAACAACCACTGTGAAAACATCCAGAAATTTCAAGTACTCTCATTATTTCTCACATTCTTTGATGATGTGAAAAATCATGAAAGCCCTTGGAATTTCTCTATTTTTTCACAGTGGTTGTTCTGCATATTGCTCATTTTTTTATTTTTTTTTTTTTCAACATTTAAGTGCTAAACCCATGTGGGTCATACAGCACTGCTAAAACCTTGGAATCAAAACTAACAACTGGTAATAATGGTAGAGTTACCAACAAAAGAAAACACGTTCACCATCATTCATTCAGTCACCGTCTTAACAGGACGAAGCGACTCATACAGGTGGTCCTCGACTTACGATGGGGTTACATTCCAACGAACCCGTCATAAGTCATATATGAATATATGATAAATAACTACCGTCACTGAATAAGTCAGTAAACAAATAATTACTGTAAATACTAGTATTGAAAAGTCAATAAATTAATATAATTTATGGACTTGTCACCTTCATGTTGGGTAATTATCTTAAGTTTCATCTCCAGAGTAATTGCTGCTGCACCATCGTAAAGTTGAAATATCCTAAGTCGAACCTTCGTGAGTCAAGGAGCACCTGTGCACAATACACAAATAACCCGCACACAGAAATAAATGGCATTTGGGTCCGACTTGGATAATTAACTAGTGACACTCAAGTGCGAAGGGAAGGGAACCAGATTAGTAATTTATTTTCATGAATATATTCCCCTCATTGATAGTCCTATATCCCCCTTATAGATAGGCCTATATCCCCCTTATAGATAACCTTATATCCCCCTTATAGTTTTTATTTTTTTATTATCACACTGGCCGATTCCCACCAAGGCAGGGTGGACCACCAAGGCAGGGTGGACCACCAAGGCAGGGTGGCCCGAAAAAGAAAAACTTTCACCATCATTCACTCCATCACTGTCTTGCCAGAAGGGTGCTTTACACTACAGTTTTTAAACTGCAACATTAACACACCTCCCCTTATAGATAGGCCTTATATCCCCCTTATAGATAGGCCTTATATATAGGCCGGACTTGAGTCCTGGAGATGGGAAGTACAGTGCCTGCACTCTGAAGGAGGGGTGTTAATGTTGCAGTTTAAAAACTGTAGTGTAAAGCACCCTTCTGGCAAGACAGTGATGGAGTGAATGATGGTGAAAGTTTTCCTTTTCGGGCCACCCTGCCTTGGTGGGAATCGGCCAGTGTGATAATAAAATAAAAAATATAGGCCTTATATCCCCCTTATAGATAGGCCTTATATCCCCCTTATAGATAGGCCTTATATATAGGCCTTATATCCCCCTTATAGATAGGCCTTATATATAGGCCTATATCCCTCTTATAAAATGTGGTGGTAACCTCGTCTCACTATTAAGGCTGTACATTGAATGGGGTGATGATATAGAAGAGTTCTTGGCTCAAGGAGTTGGAGCTGCCCCTTGGATCAGACCTAATTACCTCCCATTCACCAGTGGCTGTGTGACTCTTGTGGGTTTAGCACTCTGACCTCTATATTATTGCAGTGATATCAAGGCTGCGCAGTACCACCTGCTTGCAACATCTGGGTATTTTGAATTAGACACACGTGCAACACCTGGGTGTCGTTGCTTGTAGATGTTTTGCCGTCCATTGGCTTTATCAATACAATACAAGGACATCTACAAGTAAAGATACCCAGGTGTTGTACATGTGTCTAATTCAAGATACCCAGGTGTTGTACATGTGTCTATTTCATCACGTCGGTATTGAAACCACTGATACACAACACTTCGACGTGTGTTGCTGATAGCACTGTCAGACGCAACTTTAATTTTTCAACGACTCAAAAATTGTACAAGTTTAAATATATATATATAAAATATTATATATATGAATAATGGCAGTTCAATGATTTTTTTTTTTTAGCAAATTTAAAGTTCTTAATTTGACATAGTTCAGTGCATTCAATGCATCATCCTTATTTTCAGTGGCTGATGTATCCAGTTATCCTTGGTAATTATTAGGTAAATAATTATGTTACAGTACCTGGAGTATACCTGGAGAGGGTTTTGGGGGTCAGTGCCCCCCCCACATTTATTGATATAAATGTGACTTGATTGAGATCAGTGCAGCTGCCAAGGACCTGGAACACTATAGTATATAACAAGGATTATTTATATTTACACAATTATTTATATTTATATTATTTATATTTATATTATTTATATTTATTTATTATTTATATTTATATTATTTATATTTATATTTAATTATTTATATTTATTTTTATTTATATTATTTATATTTATTTATATTTACACAATTAAAGTTCTGTGGACACATCTCTTTTATATACTTTGCATTATATTTTTCGGTCAGAGTGGTTTTTCACAAATCATTATTTGTGACTCACGATATCGTAATGGCACGATTGTAAATAAACCATGGAACTAACCATGCAACAAACCATGGAGCAAGTGCAGTTTGAGCCCGTGGTAAGAGTGCCAGAACTCCAGGCCAGTGCACTAACCACTGTACCACTGCGAATGCACTAGCCTAGTGATAGGACTTGCTCGCCGTGGATTCGAACCCCACCTGTTCCGTGGTTTCATTATTCACGATTTTTTGTCCAAGAACATTATAGCACAAAAATTTAAAGCTTCTTTCTTGTAAAATACAAAAAGCTCCTTATAAAGTTCCTTTATATAGAACAATTTTTTGTTAAAGTAACTAAAAAAGTACATTTAAAATTAAATAGCACATTGAAAGGCCTTTTTAGTATACTATTTTGGATGAACTTTTTTAAATTGCATTAATCAAAAGTCCCACTACATAGACGAACTTTGTAAGCGCTGACTCTATCTGGAGTGACCATTAGAGTGATGTAAATGGCTTAGTAAACCGACAGGTTGAAGAATTAGGCACTTCTGCAATGTTTGGGAAAGTTTATTGTGGGAAGACCTCGCCAGCCAGTGGCTTCTTCAGTCAAGTATAGAGATAAATGGTAGAAGATGAGGTAATCAGTCCCTCAGCAAAAAGTCGATTCAGTCTGTGACTGGTAAGCCAGTGGAAGGCCTTGGTCAGATGACCAAAAGCTCCAGCTGAGGGTCATCATATGACTAAGACCAGTGTCAGGAAACACTTGTCCTGTTTCCTGATGAACCTAACCTACCCTAATGTCATTGTGTTTAGTCCATCAGGATTGATGGACTGAGGGACTGATTACCTCAAACTCCTCCTCATCTTCCACCATTCATCTCTGTAGTGGACTGAGGAACCAACTAGTTAGCGAAGCGTTTCCACAATAAAAATTTTCCAAACATTGCAAGAGGGTCTAAATTCTTCACATCATAGAGTGTAGGGGGAGACTATGCTGTTCTTAGTACAATAAGTCCTTGACTTACAAACACATTGGGGACCTCCTGAATTGTGTATAATAATGATATTATACACAATAATGATGATATACACAATACAGACGATTCTCAACATGTTTGTAAGTCGTGGACTTACTGTAACTCATACTGTACTCTAATATTGTTATTTTTACTCACTACCGTACGTAAGGGCCTCCAGTCAAAGGTATGCCCAATGCTTTTGTAATTCCTACCCATTTATATACTCTCTTAGTATCTGGAATTTTTATTTTTGGGGGGCATTTGTAAATTTTGAGTGTCCATGTGTTTTTTGGTTTATGATACTGTATATGCAGGTGGTCACTACAGGGGTTTTCAATGTGTGTGTGAACTTGGTTTGAAAGATTTAATATTAGTCAGCTAACTTATAAAGTTCTTCTATGTAGTAGGATTTTTTGTAACTGCAGTCGAAAAGTACCACTAATTTAACCTAGCTTAACCTAGCTTAGCCTAACCTAACCTAACCTTAGCTTACTAAATCTTACTGAACCTAACCGAACTTAACCTAACATTACCTTACCGAACCTAATTTAACCTAACCTAACCTAATGTTACCTTACCGAACCTTACCTAACCTAACCTAACGTTACCTTACCTAACCTAACCTGTTCATCCAGAATTAAATAGGACATAAAAAAAAGTCTTCATAGGTGATTCTATTCAGCTCTTGTTGTACTTATTTCACTTGTAGTTTTAAGAAAAATTATACTATATAGAATAGCTGTGAGAGAGAGCTGACTTACTCTGCTGTTTTAAGAAAATAATTGTTTTAAAAGTAGCATATATTTTTTTTATGGTTACTAACACCTGTGATACTAAATTGTCCATATAATAATGTTGGTAGAATTACCAAGAATTTATTAAGTAAAAGGACACAAGTGCAACTATTGTGACATTTAATTGTGGCAACGTTTTGCTCCTGGAGAGTGAAACGTTGCCACAATAAAATGTCACATTAGTTGCACTTGTGTCCTTTTACCTAACGTAATTTTCCATGTATTACAGTTGTTAATGGAATAATAGGTTGAAGGCTATAAATTGGTTTGGTATAAACCTTAGATAACCACAAATTTATTTAGAAAAACGTAAGCAAACACTAGGATATACTAGAAAACATTTCCATCCTGGAATCTTGGTCAAGGTCCCAGGATCTTGATCAAGGTCCCAGGATCTTGATCAAGGTCCCAGGATCGAATGTTTTCCAATTATGTCTTAGTATTTGCTCACATTTTTCTAAACCATAAATTGGCTTCTTTGCGAGTTGAAAGACCAATGTACGAATAATTTGCAAGTTGAAATCTCCCTGTATCTGTGACTCACATAATATACTGTACTATAATCCATTGGCTATGCTCCTGGGACTGTTATTCACATTAGTGTTATCCTATTATTCATGAGTTTGGCTCCCAGATGCATGATTCTCACAAATAATCAGCACTTAGAAGAGAAAGTTGATGTTTTGGTCCATAGACCATTGCCAAGTCACATCTGTGTAAGGGAAAGAGAAAGAGAAGAGAAGGCACCTTCTCTGCATTTTTCTTGCTCACTTGTGACTTGACAATGGTCTGTGGTGGGCTGAAATAATATAATAGGTTTGTTCTCCTAAAACCTGATTATATGTAAATTGTTCTAGTTACAGTATTGTGTTTCTTTATTGTTTGCATGACTTTTGATATGACTTTGATGATTTCCGAGAGTCTTTCTTCTCCCGGAGCCCAGCCATGCGCCAGGCTAGTCTGGTGCTAGCCTGGTTAACCAGGCAGTAGCTGCTAGAGGCCCACTGCCCTACATCCATCACAGCCTGGTTGATCTGGCACCTCTCATGCTTGGCACATGCAAGTGATTGGTTTAAAGAGTTCAAATCTTTAAGCCTAATTTATGGCCATAGCTTGATCAATCAAACCGTTGCCGGTAAAAATACAGTAGAACCCCCATATCCGCTGATTCAGTTATTCATGGTATACCATGACCCAAAAATGACCCTTAATTTTGCTCAGTAATGGCCTCAAAGTGCAAAAGTAGTGATGGTAGCATAATTTATCAATTAATCTTTATCATGGGTACATATGTAAATGAAAAACTCACATAGACGGTTTGCTACTATGTGCGGTTTCAGGCATCTACGAAAAGTCTTGGAATGTAGCCCCCACAGATATGGGAGACTACTGTAATGCATCCCTTTATATAAACATATTATAGTACACATAAACAGAAGAGTGGAAGTGAGGCTTGAACCGCGGTTCATAAATTGGTTCGAGTCCCTCGTCCACTCTTCTGTTTATCAATTGACAGTTGTTTATTACAGCTTAATTTGAGTTCATATTGTGGTATGTCTGTTACATGATCTATTTGTGCAGGAACTATAACCCCTTGAGGGTCAGTGCCGTAATCCCATGGCTTTGAAGCCAGGGTCAGTGCCGTAGTTCTACGCCATGAACTCACTTCAATCAGATAAGCTGTGAGTGGTAAATTTGGGCCTAGATTTGAGAGAATGGGTCTGTGTGGTAAGGTATACATATTAAAAAAATCCTGCAGCACACAGAGCAAAATGAGAAAAAAAACCTGTGACCGCATTTTTTGTTTAAAACAGAAAATTTTTGGTGTATTTTCATATGGTTTTTGTGGTTGTATTCACAGTTTCTTGGTGTTATTTGATAGAATGGAAGATATATTACAGAAATGGAGACGATTTGATTGGTTTTAGAAGTAAAAATAGCTTGAAATTGAGCTCAAAGTAATGGAAATGTTCAATTATTGGCGATGTTCAAGAGTAAACAAATGACACGTGTCCAATACACATCAACAGGTGGATCTAATATGCGTTCACGAATGTGCTGATATTATTTATACAATTACAGTGGAATCTTGAATTTCGTCATCCCTTTTCTATATGTAAAACTATAGTTATTCTCTCTAAAATTTATTTTTTGTTAATATTTCCCATAAATAATGTAAATCCAATTAATCCATTCTAGACACCCAAAAATATTAACAAAAATACATTTTATAGACAATAAGTATAGTTTTACATACAGAAAAGGGATGATGAAATTCGAGGGTCCGTTGTATTACAATATTTCATAACAGCAAATCTTCTAATTTTTGGTGTGAATAAAAATTTATTGTGTGAATAAAATGGAATTCATGTGTAAAGTCTGGGAACATAACTATTGAACAAAGGAAATCGTTATTGTAGTGCCAGGAATACCTGTATTGTTTATTATGGACGCTATTTTGAAATTTGTGTGAAATTGGTCAAAATACCAATTTCTGACCACTTAATTGGTTAGTTGAAATAGTTGACTGGGTGGTTTCTTGTGCTCAGTCGATAAAATAGAACGCACACTAGCGAAATAGCTAAGAATTTGTTGACTGCAACAGTGTAATTGACCTAAAATAGGACTCAAAGTGGGCAAAATCACCAGTGCTTAAATATTGCTGACAGAGGTGTGGGCGAGGAAACAGAGCTGTGATAAACATAGCATTTACTTAACCGACTGTTGCTTTTATATCTTCATCAATATCAACAGTGAGTTCTGATAAGGACTGTTATATTTTAATATTTGCCCTTACTGGGTACAGCTTACCCAGGTAGAGAATAAAAAGTTGCAACTCACCGCAGGTTGGGTGGGATTGGAACCCATGGCAATCACCCATTCCATGGATGTTTGCAATCGTGTTATTTTGATTTGTGAGTCGCAACAATACGTAAGTAACCTCCACTCAGGAGATTGAAATTTACAATGATGGTTCGTTTTAAGGGTTTGTTGGAAGGGTGTTGCACAAATATGCAACATTTGTGCAACACCCTTTCAGAATGTCTTATGACCAATGCCCTAAGTGAAGAGAAACAATTCTGGAAAGTGTAATACGTGTTCGGCAGGCTGGCTGGCCAGCTGCTGGCTCTAGTCAGACTGAAATTTACAACAATGATTTGTTTATGGTCCTAGTCGAACTGAAATTTATGACGATGATTTGTTTATGGTCCTAGTCGGACTGAAATTTACAACAATGATTTGTTTATGGTCCTAGTCGGACTGAAATTTATGACGATGATTCGTTTGTGGTCTTAGTTGGACTGAAACTTACAATAATGTTTTGTTTATAGTCCTAGTCAGACTGAAATATTACAATAACTTTCCGTCAGCTATATGCTAGTTATTTGTGTATTATACTCAGGTATAATGGATGAAAAGGACACGTGGAGATATACCTCTCTAGGGTCAAAAAAGTTATGTGAATATGGGAGCCATGGAGTCCAGAATACATTTCCTTTTTCCAATTTAATTACACGTTATCTCCCTGCATGTCATCATTTGCAATGTTGCAAGATAATGACTACCTGATGGATAATGAGGGTGTACACTTGTAGACGAGTTGATGAATTAGATGCTTGTGCAACACTTGGGTAATGTTTCGCCACAAAGTGGCTCCATCAGTCCAATACAAAGAAGTATGGTGAAGATCAGTAGGAGTTTGAGGTAATCGACCCCTCAACCTGGAGTTGTAATCAATTCATCAAGATTGATGGACTGATTACGTCAACTCCAGACTGAGGAACTAATTACCTCAAAGTCCTTTTGATTTTCACTATTCTTTGTATTGGACTGAAGAAGTCACTGTGTGGCAGAACATTTCCACAGTAAAGATACCCAAGTGTTGTATACGTATTTGTCTAATTTATCAACTTGTCGGTTCTCTGAACCATTTATCTATGTAGTTGTTTACTCGCTGAATTTTGATAACGTTTCTTGTGATTTTATTCTCCAGAAGTCTTGTGAATTATATTTTTGAATGTTTAGGTAATTCATGGTGTTTATATGTTCCTCAAGTCTTATAAAATAATTTTTATTAAAATAATTTATCAATGTGTTATAAATATATGGTGTTATTTTAGGTTTGTTAAGTAAAATTATGTAGAATTTAGCTTACATGAACAGGTGGTCCTTGACTTACAATTGGGTTACGTTCCGACAAACTTGCTTTAAGTTGAAAATTTCCTAAGTCGAATATGAATACAGTGGTACCTCGAGTTTTGAACAGCTCCCAACTCAAACAGTTATGTAAGTGCTTTTGTAAGTGTATTTTTGGGGGTCTGAAGTGGACTAATCTAATTTACATTATTCCTTATGGGAACAGATTCGTTTGGTAACGGCACTCGAACAGCCTTCTGGAATGAATTATGGCCAGAAGTCGAGGTATCACTGTATATCTTAAATTAATAAGTCAGTAAATAACTACTCTCACTGAATAAGTAAATAATTACTGTAACTAACTATATAACTAAATAATTACTGTAACTAACTATATAACTAAATAATTACTGTAACTAACAATATACCAGTATTGAAAAGTAAATACGCAAGTGAATATAAGTTCGGGACTTGCCGCCTTCATGCAAAGTAAGTGCTGCCACACCATCGTAAAGTTGAAATGTAAGTTAAACCATCGTAAGTCAAGGACCACCTATATCCTGTAACAAACTGC